TTCACACGGGCTTGGAGAAAACGCAGGGGAAGCGCTGCTCAAACACTCCACGCGGCCCCAGGCCTCCCTGGTGGCTGTGGGAGGAGGGGCTCTGCCGTTGCATCCCTGCCTGACGGAGCGCAACACGTATGTGCAAATGCCTGCCTTCGAAATACCTTCCTGGAAGAACGCCCAGCTGCAGCGCCCTCTCCGGTTTTGTGGAAGGTACATTAGACCAAGAGATCTTCCCGTTTAAAATGTCATGGGGCCGGCCCGGTGGCGCACTGGATAGTGCACCGCTTGGGAAGCGCGGCGGCGCTCCCGCCCGAGGGTTCGGATCCCACGTACAGACCGGTTCCTGCTCACTGGCTGAGCGAGGTGCGGGAGCAGCACCGAGGGTTGCGATCCCGTTGCCGGTCCCGGTCCGGTACGGGGGCAACACTGAGGGTTGCGATCCGTTGCCGGACACGGAAAAAGACAAAAAAAAAAAAAATGTCATCAAACAGAAGGAAAGTATAAACAGACTGCCTGCTCCCTGCCTGGGGGCCTGCGGGGGTCCCCTGCCTGCTGGCTTCTGGCTGGCTCTGGCCAACGGGGAGCCCAACAGGAGGCTGGAGGGAAGGAGGAGAGAGATGAGAGATGACAGATGGGCCCCAGGTGGCTGCGTCCCTCACCTATGGCCACTGCCCCTCTCAAACGGCCACCACCCTTCCTGTCCGGATTCCATTCTGCCCCCTCCTCTTGTCCCTCCAGGCCTCAGAGTGGTCACAGCTCCGCGGTCACAGCAGCCAGCCCAGGTCCTGACCACCCCTCGTGGATGCCCACACCCTGCCCAGCCCGCTCAGGCTCATCCTGCTGGAGTGCTCCATCTGTTTCCTGCAGGGACCACGACTGATAAGCCAGCCTGGCGGGCTGGGGCAGGGTCCCCGGAGGCTTCCCCACAGGACACACGTGGACTCGGTGCAGAGGGCCACTCTGTGAGGCTTGTCGAGCTCAGAAGTGAGAAGCAGGACAGGTCACACCTCAGAGGACGGGTGCCCATGGAGGGAGGGCGACACAGTGCCAGACAACAGGAGAGGGCGGGAGGGACACCCAATGGCGTGGACCCCGACGATCACTGTCCCCACTCTCCCGGGGCTGTCATGCTGAATTTCTCAAGTATGTTTTATTGATAATCAAAATAAAACCAAAAGCAGGCAAAGGGGGTACGGCGGGCAGAGTGGGCTCAGGAAGGAGGGCAGGGCCAGGAGTGGCCACCAACGCGTGTGGCAGAGGCTGGAGGGGAGGGTGTGCAGGGGTCCCCTCCGCCGCTTCACCCACGGCCCACAAGCCCACCATTGGGGTCCCCTCCGCCGCTTCACCCACGGCCCACAAGCCCACCATCGGGGTCCCCGCCCGGAGCCCTCTCGATCGGCCGCGGCCCCGAACACTGTGCTCATCTTACCCCAACGCCTCCCCCGGCCCCCAGGTTCTCCGCCTACCCCGAGCCCGTCCTCTTCCCCAAAGCCTCCCTGGTGGCTGTGGCCACCCCTCTCCGGCTGCTGGAGGATCGGACCAGAGATGGTCGACGAGAAAGAGAAGGACCAGAGATGGCAGAGTGACCCGCCCCACACAGATCATCCTCAGGGCCGCTGTGGCTTCTTGTCACTGGGACGGCGTCCTGACTCTGGCCGCAGCCCTCCTATACCCCCTGGAGCCTGACAAGTCCTGCCCCGGCCCCGGGCGTGCTCCAGCATTCCCAACATCTTTGCACCTGGATTTGCCAGCGCTGCCAGCTCTGAGACAAAAGTCACATAGACACATCGCTGTCCCTCCCATGGACAGGTGCAGGTAATCTCTGCTAACATTTCCCCACTGTGTAGTTGAGGCCTGAAGACAGAAGTAGAAACTGCTGGGTTCCTCGTAAGAGCACCTCAGGCAAGACACAAGAGCAGCTGGAGCTCACAGGAGGGGCCTAATCGTTCCCTCGATGCTGCTGCCAGGCCCGGCCCTGGAGACGAAGCTGCAGATTCCAGTAATCCACCCGCCCCTGCGCACCACCCTCTTTCCTCCAGGAATGGTGAGGGTGCCCCTCTGTGCCACCTGCAAGGTCACAGCGGGAGGCAGGCCCCTGGCCTGTGCAACATGTGCTCAGGGCCAATTAAGGTGAATTAACAGCCGGGCAGAGGCGTCAATGCCACAGTCCTGGCCTTCAGTCCCTACTCCACTGCAGCCATCGGCAGATGGTTCTGGAGTGTACGATGCTCCAGTAGGGAGACAAGGCTGGCTCAACCTCCCCCTCGTCCCCACCTCCAGCCCAGCACAAAACTACTAGCCCAGCTCTGCATTTCTGCTACAAAAAAGAAGACACACCAGGTGTGGTTTCTCTGCTTCTCTGACAAAGGAGCGTGGTCCCCAGGGTCCCCTCGGGCCCCTCCCACGGGTCTGTGTCCTGCTCGGTGCTCAGGCTGCAAGCTCAGATCACTGGGTGCGTCCCCTCTGGCGTCCAGACCCTGCTGGCAGGAAGAGCACAGCACAGAGAGCCAGGGGCTCAGAGGTGCGCACAGCCAGACAGTGACCCACCGTGGAGCAGCGGCCGGTGAGGGCACCCCAGCTGAGGTTATTTTCCATCATTCTATTCAAGGGTGTGTGCCATATGGGGGCAAAAGCCTGGACGTGTTTGGGCCAGAGAACCACATCCCCCCACCCCCCATCCTCAAGCTGAGACTGTTCAGCCTTCCAGGAGCTCTGCAGCCACCATGGGTCCTCGTCGGCCCTGCTGGACATGAGAACACTGTCCAGGCGACGTGAACAGAGAAACCAGAGCTCGGCCAGCCCATCATCTGTGCCGCTCACTGGGCCAGATTCAGGTGCTGATGTCAGACAGGACACTTGCTGAGCTCAGGGGGACCATGCCCTTCAGTCTGAGGACACAGAAGTACACGGGACCAGCCCAGCCCTCTGAGGGCTTCCAGTCCCCCATGACATGGAACTCGGCCTCCCACCTGAGGGCCTGAGAGAGAGCCGTGCTCCCCTCCTGACCCCATCACAGAAAATGGCCTGCAGGACAGACGTTCTCCAGGGTGGGAGAGAAGGGCAGGCGCAATCCGACTGGAAGTACGGGTTGAGGGCTGGAAAAATCCATGTGGAGCAGCCCTGGGGGACACCCTAAAAGAGGTAGGAACCCATTCTCCAGAGCAGCCGGAGTGGGAAAGACTGGCCTACGGGACGGCAATTGGGGAAACGTGTCGTATGGATGAAGAGGCTGTGGACAGAAAAACCCAGCTGTGCCTCCAACCTCGAGCCCCCAGGAGGGCGGGCGGGAGGGTGGCGGCTCTCAGAGGCGACCTGCATCCCGTGCTTCCCACAGCGCCACTCCAGGCGGCTCGGCCAGGCGAGGACGTGCAGGCCTGCTTCACATTGGCTAGTCACTGTCCCCAACAGCCACGGGAGGCCACCACTTCATGAACAGACCAGAGTCCTGTTGAGCCTCTGGAACAGGACAATGAGGGCGACAGCGCCAGGTGTGAGTGGCCCATTCTCCAGCTGCTCAGCCCGGAGCCCCTCCCCAGCCCCTGCCCCTCCTCTGTCGCTCACAGGCTCCTTCACCAAGCGGTTGGGCACTGCCCGACACCACAGCCCCCGCCCGGGATGACAATGACCACATGCAGCAGGTCTTCACGGGGCCCAGGGTGGCCCAGACCCCATCCCAGGCGCTGCCAACGTCCTCTCATTATTCCTCAAAATCCCCAACCAGCTCTCAGCCCCCAAACCCCACCAGAACCTCTCCTCAGCCTCGTCACAAACAAGGCTCAAGCTCCACATGGGCTTCAGAACCTGCCCGGCCCTGCCCTGGGCCCGCACTGACCAGGAGACGCGGCAGCTCTGGCCCACAGGTAGGGGACGCAGGATGGAAACCGTGGTCTCCTGCTTGGGGCCTGTTTGGGGCAACTGGGAGATAACAAGACCTCTAAGGCAGAAATAAGGGGCAGCCCAGGAGACACAGGGACAGAGATGACTGGCTGGGGAAGAAGAGTGGGGCGGGATCGAGGACAGCAGAGAGACATCTGGCCTCAGTGGGGGCAGGTGGCCTCCTGTCACTGGTGTGTCAAAGCTTGAAATGCAGTAGACATGAAATACAGAAGACACCTTCTCCACGGTGCACCCCAGAGAGGTAAGAAGACCCTGATCTGCGGCCTTGCAAAAACCATGGGGCAAGCCAATGCAGACCCTTTTGCGGGGAAGGGGTTGGAGCTTCTTGGGAAGGAAAAAAGAGGTCTGCAAAGTTACAGCCAGGGAAAGCTGGGCATTTTGGTGCAAAAACCAGCAATGCATTTCCTTACGAGCCAAAAAGCAGCAAAATAAAGCAACACCAAAATGCCCACGCCGCCGTAGCATTTCCCTAGAGAATGTTCCAGCACTCAATTTACATCCAGGTAGAGGGGACAATTCTGGCTCTGGAGCTGTGTCTGAATGGCCTGAATTTCAGCCATCAGTAACGACTCCAGCCAAGGCAACTGTGGATGAATAAACTCTTTCTGCATCTACCCGGCGTAGGCTGATCTCCAGGGTGCTGCCTCTTACCGCCCAGCCCCCGAGCCCAGAGCTCCCTGCGGGAATATCCCACACAGCGCAGGGCTCAGGTGTGTTCACACAGACCCTCAACACATGCTCGTTGCCTAAATCACTGTTTTCAACAGCATGGTTTTAAAAATTTCACAGTATAAACGCCTTAAAACAGAAAAGCTGCCAGGACGCCACTGCTGGCCACCCTGAGGCTGAGAGGAGCGGGTTGGCGGCAGTGCTGCCTCTTACCGCCCAGCCCCCGAGCCCAGAGCTCCCTGCGGGAATATCCCACACAGCACGGGGCTCAGGTGTGTTCACACAGACCCTCAACACATGCTCGTTGCCTAAATCACTGTTTTCAACAGCATGGTTTTAAAAATTTCAGAGTATAAACGCCTTAAAACAGAAAAGCTGCCAGGACGCCACTGCTGGCCACCCTGAGGCTGAGAGGAGCGGGTTGGCGGCACCTGTCCTACCTTGTTGTAGTACTGCACCTGCACCGAGTGCCACTGCCCGTCACTCACGCCTCCGGGAACCTGTGGTGTCACGGTCGTTGTGGTCTCACCTGAGCAGGAGGAGGGAGATCCAGAGAGAGCAGAGGTTAGCACGGCCTGGTGGGGACGGCGGATCAGGCTGCAAGGCCACTGGCAGCAGGATAGGCCTGTGTTGATCAGAAATGCGGTCACAGCCTCCCTCCCCTACCCACAGCACCCAGCGGGAGGCCCCCACCACTTCGCCCACATCGAGGGCTCAACCCCAACCTGGAAGGCCCGGGGCCCTCACAAGGAAAGGGGGGCTCCCTCACGGCCCAGGGCCTTGGAAGGTGTGTCAGCCGTCCCACAGGGCCCCCTGCAGGCTCCATGTACGCTGAGACAAACCAGCCCTTCACCCAGGGGCCCAGACACACAACCACTGCCTAACATTTACCAAACATCCCATATCAGTTTTTCTTTTCCAATTACATACATAATTCTTGTCCATCTTTTTTGAATAGGGTAATGCAAGAAAGCATAAAGAAGGAAAACTCATCATCAGTGCAAGCAGCAGCTAGGGGCCGGCTGGTTGTTTCAGTTAGTTAGAGCGCAGCCTTGTAACACCAAGGTCAAGGGTTCCGTTCCCTGCACCGGCCAGCAGCAGCCAGCTTGCCCTGAAGCGGGGGTCTTTCCTCTTCTTGACATTCTGCACTAACACAGACCACATCATCCAAACTCATGCAGAACCGTGCTCCCTGTTCTGGTCACTTAATGACAGAAGCACAGTTCCATGCTTTGAGCAACTTTTTCGCCACACAATGCATCACATTGTAAGGTCACAGGACATATCGCTTATGTATCTGCTTTGGGGTGTTTATGCCATTTCTACCCCCAGAGCTCCTGCTTCAGTGGGGTAGGGCTGGGCAAGCATTCTTCAAGTCCCCTTGGGGGTTCCACTGCACACTCCTGCTTAAGCAGCAGCTGGGAAGAAGGAGCTTTGCATGCACAAAAGGACAGGGTTGACCAGTACTACGTCTTGGGCAGGGAATGCTGTCCCCAGTGAACTGGTGAAATGTTCCAGAAATGAGGCGTGCAGGTCTGTGGACCCAAGCCTGGGAGAGGAGTGGCATCCCACCTCCAGAGCCTGGCGGGCCACGGCCACCTCTCCCACTGTGGTCTCCTGGTGTTAGGGGTGCCCCCATGTCTTCATTCCAGATGGAAAACCAAGTCCCAGCTTCTGCTGTTACACACATGTAAATTGACAGGGGCCGGGGTCTTGGTGAATTTCCAGGTAAGGGAGGAGCAGGTATAACTCACCCCTAAAAATCATTTGTGCCAGAAAAACACAGATAAGAGAGGCTGAAAGTCGTTTTGGCAGTCTGGATAAATGTTCTTTTCCAACAACAGTACAGCATTTTTAATGGCGTTGTTAATATTTTAATCTACAGATGTACTACACTTTATTTAGTGAATCCTCTATTTTGTAAATATGCACTGTATCTTCCATATTTTCAGCACTATAAATAACACTGCAATGAACATCTTTGTGCACTTTGGATTTCTTCTCCAGGACGAATTCCTAGATGTAGAATTATGGGATTAAAGGGTAAGCAGCTCGGAGGTGCTGCACAGGAGGAAAATGGTTCTAACCAACACGGCGCCTGGGAAGCGCTCTGAGAGCTGCTCCCACCTGCGGAGAAGGTGAGCTGCACCTGCTCGTCCACGATCTCCAGGGCGATGAAGTCGTGCTTCTCGTTGAAGCGGCCGTTGTAGAGCAGCAGTGCATTCCTTTCTTGGGTGGCAAACCTGTGGGGCCAAGCAGAAGCATGTCACATGGGGAAGGCCCCAGGGTCAGGAGACTGCCCAGGAGGGACAAGCCCAGCCAGAAGGGGGCAAGCACCCGGG